AAATAACTTCTGATGCTTGGAACAGTGCTTGGCATATGATAAGAATGCATAAATGTGAGCTACCATGTTCACTTAGGAAAAGGAAAATTTGTATACATCCGTCACTCTGCAATAAACCATGATAATGAAAGGACTCATTATACAAGCGGTGAAATAATAGGAAATCTCTAACCTACTTTTCTTTGATAGTGGAATATATTATATGTAGTCAGGTAATGGGATAGCTATGCCTTAATATATTTTGAATTATAATGCCACATAACAATATCATAGGCCATAGCAGACCACATATATGATAGTTGTCCCATAAGACTATACTGCCCAGAGGAGGGAGTTATAGCACAGTGGCTTAAGCTACCACTTGGGATACCTGCATCCCACAGTGCAATGGCTGAGTTCCAGTCCTGCACTTCCAATCCAACTTCCTGCTGTCACATACCCCTAATGCAGCAAGTGATGGCCCAAAAACTTTGAGTCCCTGCCATCCATGTGGAAGACCCGCATGGAATTTCAACTCCTGACACCAGCCTAGCCCAGCTCTGGCTGTTGAAGGGATTTGGTGAGTGAACCATCAGACAGAAGATCTTTCTCTTTCTGTTGCTCTGCCTTTCAAATAACCATAAGTAGATATACTTTAAAAAGATTATATTCCCAGTGATGTCAAAACCATCTTATTTTGTGGGATATTTGCACAGTGACAAAACTGCCTAGTGACATATTTCAGAACATACAGTCAGTCATACCCAATGCACTGCTGTAATTGGCTATTTCCCCAAATTCACCAAAAAGGCACAGGGGAAAAAAATCAGCTTAGAATATGATGAATATTAAAGAAAATGGTCCTTCTTAGCTTTATTACTTTCATTACTTTTAAACTACTATTTCCTATTTGCAAAATAAGATGCAAATATTTATGCCACACATGTTCATAAAGTGAACACATTACTATGGACCCAGCTTAGAAACTGTGGTTGAGGCTGGCACTGTGGCTCACTAAAAGCTAAATCCTCCACCTGCGGCACTGGCACTCTGGGTTCTAGTCCTGGTTGGGGTGCCGGTTCTGTCCTGGTTGCTCCTCTTCCAGTCCAGCTCTCTGCTGTGGCCCGGGAGTGCAGTGGAGGATGGCCCAAGTGCTTGGGCCCTGCACCAGCATGGGAGGCCAGGAGGAAGCACCTGGCTCCTGCCTTCGGATCCGCGCAGCGTGTCAGCCGTAGTGGCCATTTGGGAAGTGAACCAACTGAAGGAAGACCTTTCTCTCTCTCTCTCTCTCATGTCTAACTCTGCCTGTCAAAAAACAAAACAAAACAAAACAAAACTTGTGGTTGAGAAAGCTTGATGGCTCTCTCATCTCATTCTTCCACTTCTCAATAGTGGTAGAAATTTTAGCGGGCAAGCAGGTGATCTCACTTGTAGCTGGGCCCAGCCAGTGTGATGAAGCAGAAGTAATGCGCACCATCTAGGTCACAGCTTTCAAAGAAAGGGTCACAGCATCCCTTTGGTTTTCCCCCTTCCAGTTGCTTGGGAGTTGTGCCCAGTCATTTTGACCTTAGTGGCAGACTAATAACATGGGAGAAATCGGTGTCCCTGATAACAAAGAACTGCTGTGGCAGCCCTGGATTATCTACCCAGATATTAGGTGAGTAGAAAATAAACTTCTATCTTGTTCAGGTTGCAGTAGTTTACCTTACCATAGCTTAAGACAATCACCAATACCTTTGAGTCCTCCTGTGTGTTCCTCTGCAATCTCATCTTCCTAACTTTTCATCAGGAGTTATCACTATCTAGAATTGTATAACAATGTTTTTCCTTTTATTCTCTGCTTTACCACACATGTTCCTAAATGCAGTGTCCTGCATGTTTTCAACCTCTATGCAAATAAATTCATACTGGGTGTATTTTCTCTGTTCTCTGTGACCACGGACTGAATAGTGTCCCTTCCCCCACTGTTTCATACACAGAAGCAGTGTGATAGGTAGAGCCCTTGTGATGGGATTAGTGTCCTTCTAAGAGGTACCAGAGAGCTTCGGTCCTTCTTCTTGCTGACCCCCAGCCATGTGAAGATATAAAGAAAAGCGGCGGCAGGATCTACAAGCCAGGAAGAGATCCCTTACTGGGAAGCCAGATCACCTTTCACCTTGGACTTTCCAACCTCCAGAACCCTAAGATTTCTGTTGCTCGGAGCTACTTAGCCCAGGGTATTTTGTTATGAAAGCTCAACCTAATACACCTGCTTTTTTTCACTCAACATTGTGCTTGTGAAATTCATTCATGTTAATATGTGTAGCTAGGGACTGGGTTGTGGCGTAGCACGTAAAGCCACCACCTGCAGTGCTGGCATCCCATACAGGCACTGGTTCGAGGCCCAGCTGCTCCACTTCCAATCCAGGTCCCTAGTTTATGGTCAGGGAAAGCAGTGGAAGATGGCCCGAGTCTTTGGACCCCTGCACCTGTGTGGGAGACCCAGAAGAAGCTCCTGGCTCCTGGCTTTGGATTGGCCCAGCTTGGGCCATTGTGGCCATTTGGGGAGTGAACCAGCAAATGGAAGACCTCTCTCTCTCTCTCTCTGCCTCTACCTCTCTGTGACTCTGCCTTTCAAATAAATAAATCTTAAAATAAAAATTTTAAAATATGTAGCTAGAGCACATTAACTCCTCACTACTAGATTCAACTTGGATTATAAGTTAAATTACATGAAAATATCACAGTTTACTTGCCCATTCATGGTGGATATTTAGGTTACTTTCAGCTTTTTGTTATCATATCTACAAAGGTGCTATGAATACTATTATTGTATCCCTTAGGATACAATGTGCAAGAATTTTTCTAGATACTCTCCTGGCTGTGTTTCCCAGATAATAAGATTGTTTTACAAATTGCCGAACCCTCTATTTCTCCCTTGTTAACACTCGTGCTTAGGTAGGCCCTGCGATGAAATTCTGGCCACTGAGATAAACAAATGTGTCTGGGATTTAGGGAAAGTCCGCTGAGTGGTAGCCATCACTTTCCTAGCCTCTGCCTCTTTGCTGCTCTTTAAAATGCAAACAGATGGCTGGAACCCTAGCTGATATTCTGAATCATGAAATGACGTAGTAGACACAAACCAAAGATGTTAGACTAGAAAGACAGAGGGCTTCCTGGTGACCACGTTACTGCCATACCACCCTGTACTGTGAGTTATAGACTTCTTTTATGAGAGACAAATGTGTTTCTATTTTGATTACATTACCATGGTTTAGGTTTTTGCTATAGGTATTTCAACATAAACCCAATGGATTATTTTTCTTATTATTTTTAAGCGTTCTTTATGTAAGCAAGGTACTCTCATTGTGGATTTTATGGAAAATATCTCAATTTATGGCTTTCAATGTTCTTGGTGCCTTTTGGTGTACCTTAGAAATTACCTTCAATGTGTCTGAGTTTGTTAATCTGGGACTGGATTTTTCCTTGAATTATTCATGCCACTGGTAAATTAAAGAGTAGTTCATCCAAGTTCACTGCACATAAAGCCTGCAGAGTTAAAAGTGATCTCTGTCATGTTGGTTTCTCCCCTGTTTGTCAGCATCATTTTTCACATTGAATATTAGGAGACGTGTCCAGTGAATGGTCTACGGGTACTCTCACGCTGTTCCAAGGCAGCGGTATTGCCAAACTTTCTGTAATGGACCAGGTAGAAAATACATTAGTCTTTGCAGGCTGTATGTTCCCTGTGAGAGCCCTGCTGTCCTCGTAGGGCGAAAGCAATCAAACAACGTGTAAGGAACAAACATGGCTTTAGTCAAAGCACTGAAATCTGAACTTCATATCACAAAATATCATTCTCTTGATTTTTTTCCCAATTATTTAAAATCGCAAAAATCATACTGAGCTTGTGGGCTGTAGGCTGGGTTTGACCTGCAAGTAGCCGATTGTTGACCTCTGCTGTGTGCAGCTGTGGGGCAAGATGCATCTACTGGTACATGTTGCTCAAACCAAGTATCTTGGAAGCTTGGTCTTGTCCTATTGCCTTAGAAAAACGCCTGGAGGTCAGAACTGGGAAGGGAAGAGCAAGGTAAGCTACAGGTGTGTCTCAGGCGGTGCAGTATGTCGGGTTTATGACACACTGTCTCCTGTCCAAATGGCTGCATTGTGAGGTAAGGGGCTGGGGAACTCCCATTGGGTGACAAGTGAGCCTGGTCCACGCCGCCGCGGTGAAAGGACATTCGTGCATTCTTGCCCTCTATTGCAGGGCAGAAGAGTGCGTGAAAAAGTTCCATCGTGGTTGGTTTCGGATGCTCTGAAAATCAGGCCTTTGGGGTTCAACCATTGAGTCCCCTCGTTAGTGTTTCCAAGCTTTGATTTTTAATTTCAAACCTTAGTCTCCGAACCTGTGGTAAAGGTTCTCTTAGAACCTAGACCAGCAGAAGGTAGGGCCGCCTGCCTCCATGTTGGACAGAATTGTTTACCAAGCGGCACAGATGGGGCCATCATGTCGGCGACCCAAGGCCTGCAAACTCGTGTCCTTAATTAAAAAACAAAAACAAAACAAACAACAAAAAACCACTCCAACTCCTCAGGCGGCGTAGTCCTCCACAGGTCGGCAAAGCCAGAACATGGGCACTCCGAAGCGGTGTGCCCACCTCCCCCAGGTGGAGGAAGCGGCTCTAACCATCCAGCTAGCGAGAGGACTTTTCCCCAGGACCCGTTATCAGACAGCCAGGACAAGACACCAGCCCTTGGAGACAGGTGCAGGCGGCCACTGGGCAGTCGGGACCCGCGCGCCCACGGGAGAGTTACGGAGCGCGAGCCCTGCGGCGACCCGCGGGCGTGTAGGGGCGGGCCCAGGGCCCCGCACACCTCCCACGCGCGGCCCCAGCCCCGAGGCCCCGCCCCCACGGCGGCCCCACGGCTTGTGGGCGGGGGCCCCGGGACCAGAGGGCGGCGGCGCGGCCTGACCCCATCGCGGCCGCGCGGGCCGGACCGGCGCAGGCCCCGGCCGCGAGCCCCACCCCGCGTCGCTCCCCGCCCCTGGGGGCCGGCTCGGGCTGCGCTCGGGCCCGCAGGCGGCCATGGCGGCGGGCGCCGGGGCCAGGCCGGCGCCGCGCTGGCTGAAGGCGCTGGGCGAGCCGCTGAGCGCGGCGCAGCTGCGGCGGCTGGAGGAGCACCGCTACAGCGCGGCGGGCGTGTCGCTGCTCGAGCCGCCGCTGCAGCTCTACTGGACCTGGCTGCTCCAATGGATCCCGCTCTGGCTGGCGCCCAACTCCATCACCCTGCTCGGCCTCGCCATCAACCTGCTCACCACGCTCGTGCTCATCGCCTACTGCCCCACGGTCACCGAGGAGGTAGGGCTGACCGCCCGCCCGCGCCCCGGCGGCGGCCGCGGCGGACGGGAGCCTCCAACTGCCCCCTCGTTCCCCGCCCGAGCCCGGCCCCTCGCGCGGCTCAGCCTTCCCGGGGCCGTGGAGGGGCGGACGCGGCCACTGCCCTCCCCGTGCAGTATCTGTCCCGAGCCTCCCGGGGCCACCTACGGGCTGTCATGCCACTGCCCCAGTCCCGTGACCATCCGGAGCCTCCACCGGACAGCGGAGGGGCGTCAAGGTCATTGCCCCACGCCCAGGTCCGTGAGTCCGTGCAGTTGCTCCCGGGGGCCGCCAAGCCCTCCCTCCGGAGCCAACCTGTGGATGCACCGGCTGCCCGGCGGGGCGGGGCGGGGCGGGGCGACTCGGCGCGCAGCGCCTGGGCACCCCCACCTCCATCTCTGACCTGCCTGGGGCAAGGACTTGTGGCCGGGTTGGCCAAGCCCAAGATGCCCTTTGGACACTTGTATAATCGGTTTCTCAAAAGGGTGTGCTAGTGAACTTGAAATAGCTGGTAGCTCTGATCAAGTGCAAGTTACTTTTAAGAGGCCACTTCCTCTTTGCTTCCCTGACTTTTTCATGAAAAGCACACCAGGACATTATCGAGGCAATATCATCCTTGTCATCACTACACAGGGATCAGAGAAACCAACCTTTTTGTTAGCGATCATTGTGTTTGGGCCATGTTGGAAGAGTAAAAGGCTTTGGACAGCTGATAATCACCAGGCCCCCCTTGGGCTGAGCGAGGAGAGGGATAGGCAAAAGGTGGGGTTCCCTACTGTCTGTAGCTTACTGTATGGAGTACATAGGATAAATATTAAGTGACTTATTCTGCGACAATGCTTTCTTTTCTTTGCCCTCCAAATAGTGAATTACTTTGTAGTCATATTTGAGTTTAGGTGCTTGGAGGATTAGTGGGGATTCAGGTTGGATTACAGGGATGCAATGAAAAACAGTTCTTCCCCCATCCATGCACACGTTTAAATATATATATATGTATATATATATATATATATATAAAATGTATATATATTTGAGGGAGCCTGCATTTGTCAATGGATTGATGTGTTTATTGTCCAGTTCTTAGCAGGCATTCACTTGGCTAATCATTGCCATATTGTTTAAAAACGGTAAACTTCTTTAATATTTGTTTTTCGTTGCCTATTCCCAGAATTTCCCAGAAGGAGAGTGTTAGAATGGAAAGATCGTTGGGGCAGAGCAGAGCGCTTGGCTTCTTATCTGGCTGGGCCACCACAGACCTATGCCCGCCCAGCCGATTTCACAAGGAGGCAGTGAGGATCGAACGACAGATGATATGCAGCGAAATGGAGAAAGCTGTGATTTGCCGCACAAATTTAAAATATTACTTGACACACAGAAAGTGGTACTGTTATTAAACAATGTCCTGAAAATGCCTAATAGAAATTAGCTTTGAGTGGGCCTAGGTTGGCCTAAAGTGTTTGGGTGCTTCTCAGGCCGGCCGATTGTGTTGTGGGCTCTGCCTTGTTATTATTAATTTAAGAAGCACTTTTGAGCACTTGCTAAGAGCAGGGCATGCAGACAGTCCAGTAGCTTTTCCTTAGGGGAGTAAAGGGCAGCCTTGTTGAAGTAGAACATTTCTAATTAGTTTTTTTTTTTTTTTTTTTTTTTTTGACAGGCAGAGTGGACAGTGAGAGAGAGAGACAGAGAGAAAGGTCTTCCTTTGCTGTTGGTTCACCCTCCAATGGCTGCCACGGCCGGCGCGCTGCAGCCAGCGCACCACGCTGATCCAAAGGCAGGAGCCAGGTGCTTCTCCTGGTCTCCCATGGGGTGCAGGGCCCAAGCACTTAGGCCATCCTCCACTGTACTCCCTGGCCACAGCAGAGAGCTGGCCTGGAAGAGGGGCAACCGGGACAGAATCTGGCGCCCCGACCGGGGCTAGAACCTGGTGTGCCGGCACCGCAAGGCGGAGGATTAGCCTAGTGAGCCATGACGCTGGCTGTCTAATTAGTTTTTAGGCTTATGGAGGTGCTTTTCAACAAAGACAGAAAATTGAAATATAACCCAACAAGGGGGTTTCGGAGTGAAGATAGGAATGTGGGAGTAGAAGCAGGTCGCTGCATAGGCTGCTCAGTGGCTGAAGCAGTGAGGGGGAACCCTGACAGCATCTATAAGGCTCCTTTGAGAAAATCCCAACACCAATGTGAAAGAGCATGGCGGTTTCTGGCTGTTTGACCTTCAAAGCCGTAGAACTCGTAAGCGACAGGACCAGGGAGGAGTCACACCGAAGTGGGCCTGACTCCAAAGCTCAGACTCTTCTTCCGACGTCCTGCCACCTTCCGACTTGGAGTTCCCACCTTTCTCTGCCCGTGTATTATATACACAGGTGTGGAAAGTGCTTTCACATCTTAGGCTTCACATTCGGTTTTTAAATTTAGGTGCTATTATCTGCTCATTAAGGGAGTAATGCTGACTACATATCTGTATTAAAGTTTGAGATGTGTTTGAACTACTGTGTTGATTCCTGGGACTGACTGTGGATAAAAGGAAACTAATAGAAAAAATTGCGAATTAGATTAAACTTCTGTAGTGGTGCTCCGAGATACTTCTGAGGCCCTTTCTGCTCTAAGCAGATTGAACTGCTTATCACAGCAAGGGTTTCTCTCCTGCATGTTCCTCTCTTTTTTGCTTCCTTTTCCTTTCTTCTGTCCCGCTTATTCAACAATCTCTCATATTTCCACGCCCAGTGCTAAAACTCCCTGCTTACGATACTTCTTTCTTCCATGTCAGATCAACCACTTAATCCTCTGACCTCCCATAACAGTGACAATCATTTACATTTATTGAGTATTTACAGGCTTTATTTTAAGCAGATCTTGTTCTTTTATGTCATTGGATCTTCTCAACAACCTTTTGATTAGCTACAGTTAATATCCCTGTTTTGGGGCCGGAACTGTGACATAGAAAGTTAAACCTCTGCCCGCAGTGCTTGCATCCCATATGGGCGTTAGTTCAAGTCCCCAAATGCTCCACTTCCGATCCAGCTCCTTGATAATGCACTTGGGAAAACAGCAGAAAATAACCCAAGTCCTTGGGCCCCTGCACCCACATGGCAGACCCAGAAGAAGCTCCTAGTTCCTGGCTTTGGCCTGGCCCAGCTTTGGCAGTTGCAGCCATTTGAGGAGTGAACAAGCAGATAGAAGATCGATCCATTTCTTTCTGTCTCTCTGTCTTGCAAATAAAATATTTTTTTAAATCCCCATTTTATAAATGAGGAAACTAAAAGGAAATTCATCTCTCCTATGGCTACAAAGCTTTAAGTGGGGTTGTGTGTATCCTTACTGAGCTAGGACAGCCTACCAGATTTTAAGTTTATTTGTGTAATCTCCTTAAGCGTAGTACCTTGCCTAAAATAAATGCATAGTAAATATTTGCTGAACTATTGACTGCATGAATGAAATATTACAGGGTAGTCTTGAGAGAGGATGGTTTTCAATCCTTACAGAGTTTTAGTAATTCTTGGATTAAATACTTACCAGCAGCTTGGCATGGGTAATTTTAAGGAGAGTAAGCAATTGTTAAGGCAACCAACTGGAGAAAAAAAAAAGAATTGAGTTGTCTCCTTTGGATCTTGATGAAGCAATTCTCCATGCCCACGGTGCTAAGTGTGGAGTCCCTGCCGCATCCCTTGGCTACCTAACCCTAAAACAGAACCACAGATTCTTAGAGTTGGAGAGGACGTTAGTGCTCATTTAATACAATTCCTACGTTTATCTAAATTCTAGCTCCAGCCTAGTAGGCATATTGTGTCCAACTGCCCCTTTACTGGCTTTCTCCCTCAGGCCTGGATCTCAAAAACATCTTACGTTTGCTCAGTCTTTTCCTACAAGTTCCCCTGTTTTTATGCTTTAACAGTGGATCTAATCGTGTGTGTGTGTGTGTGTGTGTGTGTGTGTGTATTTAAATTCCTGCTTTCCTAGGAGAGCTGCTTAGGACATGGTAGGGCTCTGCTGGGCTGATTCCAGACTCCTCTGCTTAGAACCTCGCCATGGTTTCTGCACACCTGAGCCATCACGACTTTTCCGAAACCCTGGATCAGGACTCCTTACACAGGCCCCCTTGTAATTCACTTTCTGCCAAAGACTGTAGCTTTAGTATCGGCCTTGTGGAATGTACTGGCAAATGGACTCACGTTGGTTCAGTAAAGTCGCTTTCTCGACTGTGAAACCCTCAGCCCATACCCCTGTGGGGCTGGTGGAAACTGACCCCACTGTCTTTTACTTATTAAATATTTCTGCCCTGCTTTCTCTATCTTGGTGTATGTAAATCCATATTTGTGTCTCTGTTAAAAGTGTGTTTGAGGCAGACAAGTTCCTAGCTTAGGACCAGGTCAAAAGGTGTTGAATATCACATTTATTAGTTTATGAAAGTTGAATCAAAAAGCAAGTATAAATGAAGAAGTCAGAAAGACCTTAAGAAATGGTTTATATCTGTTTAAATAACAGATCATGGTTGCTTTTGTACCATATAGTAAAGAGTTAATTTGTTGGGGGAAAATAAAGAAGGCAATCACCTGTCGATTCCAACTCAGATTTTTTTTTATAGGTTGGGTTTCCTTGAGATTTTTATCACCTACTCCTTTATTTTTAATTAAGTCATTTATCACTCCTCACTTATTAAGACAGGGCTCTTGTAAGGGAGTGACCTCTGTCACTAGGGAATTTAAGTTCCAGTAGCAGGGCCGGGACGAGGTGAGGCAGACCCAGGCCTCGGGGTGTACAGAAGCACTTGCCGGCCAGGACAGTGAATGAATGCCTCCTTGAGTTCTGTGGCCCAGGTGCCTCTCACCACGCCCTCGGGCCACGCTGTCCGGAAGAGCAGCTGGGGGTAACGTGGAGGTAACCTCCCCGGTCCCTTTGATTTCTGTGGCTTCACCATACTTGCCAAGGAACAAGCCGTTTCTCCTTTAACATTCCGGTTCAAGTGTGGCCGAAACAGGGCCCTGA